CTGAAAAAGAGAACGGAGGGGGCTATCGTTTTCGTCGACGAGGCCGTTGCCGCCGCCTCCGGTTGGCTCGTCGTTATTTACAGCCGACTGGCGCGGCGCGGCCGCAGAGCGCACATCAAAGACGCCGCCGTTCAATGGCAGCGCGAATATTTTCTTGCCCGTTACGATGCTCAGTTGACTAAGTACGGATGTCAGCCATGATTGAGGCGCTTGCCACAGTTTCGTCAATCGAACAGTATCAACATTTGTCATCGGCAAATCAATTAAATGCAACTGTCTGCCCCTAAAAGAGCGGCATGCCTTTCATCTGGCCGGGAATTCGCTCGCCACCGCGTGCCTACCCGATTTGGTGTGTGTGCCTCCTTCCTGTCCGTTGTGTCTCTGTTGTCAGCCTGTCGTGTCGACGGCGATTGCTTCCTTCATCACTCTGCATCGTCTCTGACCTCGGATATACCTCAACTGCCTCAAAATTGTCTTGTCGTCGTTCAACAACCAACAACGCCAACTGTTCCTACTGTAATTCGACCATCGTCCGCAAATGAACCACTGTTCTGCCATAACTGCACGGGCTTCTGGTGGTGGCGGCAATTAGCGTCCATGGTCTAGAAGCCAATTTTCCAATTAACATTAATACCGAGGGGAATATCTGTCGCGCAGATGAAACAAAGTCCTAACGATCTACTACCACACATGCGTGCCGTAACTAGGATCCGCCCTCGGATCCAAGAAACAGACCGTGGAGGATGATACAAGCAGTTTGTCTGTCCGTCAAAAGGCGCCCCAGAGTCCCTTTTAATACGTTTCGTTTCCCTGCTCCCATTGCTAACTTAACGGTAGATTTCTGACATCCTTTCAACTCCTCAAGTCATCGTCCAGCAACGAGTTAGTGACGCATTAAAAAGAATTTGTATCAACTGCCTACCGTATGAGATACGAGTCCATTAATTGGTAGAATAATTCTTTACTGTAGGCCAGTGCAAAAGTTTCACACCAAGGAAAATGAAAATCCGGGGTTTCATTCCTGGTACAAAGCGACTATAAAATTCCTGTGATGTGTTGTCTACTTCTTCTAATTGCTTTCTTAAAATGGGTTATAAAGCAATATTAGTGAAAAAGTTGTGGCAGCAATCAGATGCCCAAAAAATTTATCTGCGTCAAACACCAAATACACGATCCTTAAAGCGAATGATCCACCCTTAAGATGATCAACAACAGGCTCTGCTTTGCGGTTTGCAGTCAAAGTGATTGCCAAATCAACTCCTTCAGATTCACTTGCAGCGAAAAGAGTGAAACACTTCATTTATGGAAGAATCGCTACTTAGGCTCGAAATTTTCACTTTTTGGTTTGGCTGTTGGATCTGCTATTGAATCCAAGTTCAGATGTTTAATTGGAAGCCAAAGACATACTGTGTAAATGCTGCGAAACGCGATGAATAATCGAATGTGGCTTTAGCATCAACGATTCTAAATTCTGATAAATGTTGACGTTCAGTAAATTATAACTAGAAATTTTGTGATTATTATGATAACCGTGAGAACTGGACGTTCTGAAAGCTTCAACAAGTTGACTCTTCAAATTAGCTGAAAATATCATAAATTTTGTTTGTGGTAATGGGGGTTGTTATGGTTGGAAAAAAAATCTCATGAAAAGAAAATGCTCCTTTGGTATCAAAGTAGTTCTCCCTACTAAATATACCGCAATCAACGTTTTATTTCTGCTATTAGGTGTTGAGGCATGTAAAGCCAGAGTGATGAAGAAGTCAAGAGTGAATATGCATGTGGCTTATTTTATGAGCAGCAGTGGACATTGTTTTTTAAAGACGGTTAGAATTATCGAAAATGTTATTAGCTATTAAAAGCTTGTCACGTCAGAGATGTTATCATTTACTGTCGTCGTTTAACGTTATGCAGAACTTTGGCAGGACTGTTGCGTCGACTAATGGTCTGAAATTAAGCCAAACTGTTTCCCCACTACGCGTCATTTAAATCAGGTTTATTTTGGCATGGTCTTTTATGAGGTGTTTTACCCTAAGTCACCTACAGCACTTCGCCAACGAATATTTCGCATTCGCTGGTCGGTCAATGAAACTTAGATTCAGGTTAGCTGAGTTGGAGAGCAGAAGATCTGCAGACAAAAGATTACGGTTCGGTTTTGTATCCAAGGTCATTCGCTCTTTTTCATTGTTTCAGGTTACACAAATGAGTCAGATATACGGTAAGGTAGCAGATTACCATTTTATGCTGTGTTTATCATGCAGGTAAATGTAACATTGAAAATATGGCAGTCCCAGCAGGTGACATCAAAAAGGCAAACAGACAACGCAAAACGAGCTGTATAAAAGAACAATGCTACAAGCGCTCTCAATTCTCTCAACCTGAGGAAACTCTCACGTCGTGGGTGGCCATAGATGTCCATTGCAATTCTGAAGCGGTGTGTAATACCAGACAAAACTGAAAAGTTTTGTTTAACAAAGTTATGCTAAACATTAACCTGAACCTTTCGAGCAGTGTTTTGCTGATCTGCTACAGCAGCATCTATATGTTTAGTGGATTGAACATTCGTGACGATTCGTTCAGGACCTGCTGAAGAAAGGCGGTAAAATGCCGTCGGAAACACTCAGATTAGAGTTTTGTATAATTCAGTTTGAGGGAAACCGTTATCCAGAATTCCAAGTGTTACCTCACCTGTACAAAAGCCATAGGTTTGCGGTTATAACGTTGTTAATTCTATTTTCTGCTGTAATCTGTGGTGTTCTTATTTTAAATCACTACATCAATACCGTCTCGTTAAGATAAAATAATTGCCACGGGAAATCTGTTGGAGTTCTGTGATATGTGTTCGATAATGTCTATTAACTTTCGCATCATTAAAATTCTTGCCTCTTCATGTTGATTTTGTTTATCAGCGCTTCAAGTAATTTACGTTTATTAATCCTAGTACTCGTTAGTACTCAATCTGAAAATTAAACAAAAGGCAATATTTCTTGATCGGTACTAATCTAAGTGCCATCAACGAACTTCGAAAAGATATGCCACTTTAAAGGAAGGGAGGGCGGAGAATTTGCTGTTTTCTACGCTATCGTCGCTTCCACTATTCAGGTCTAAACTGCTCAATGGACGACAACCTCGGCACGGGCTTCCATCCGCTAAAGTTAAGATTAATTTCTTCCATTCAGCTAAAACTTTCCCATCAGAGGACTTTGCAGCAAAATTGAATACTTCGAGTTTCATCTTTACCATGATATCTTTCAGGGTTAAGGGTTAATCCCAGCAAAATAAATTAAGATTGCCAAATTTTCACCATTATTTTAAGTACTTACGCGATAATGAAATCAAGGTCAAGGCCTGAAAAATCTGTTTCTACCTCATAATACAAATAGCAACAGATTATTTCGAGGAATGTTAAAGAATCACTTACCAACATTGTTCTGTAAAATTTGCATTGTAGTCGGCAGATCTTGATTTCAAGCAAGGGAACGTAACGAACTTACATGCTGATGGCCTATTGGACTTGACCGTAATTAAACGACTTTAACGTTCTGCTTCTCCAGTCCTTCGATATTCCTCATATTTCTGAACCTCATGAACCTCTGTTCCTCATCATTTTGTTATTTCTGCTACAGAAAGTCTTTCTAAAAGGACGTGTATGCTTTTGGGAGAATTATCAGCTAGATTCCTTGGTAAGGAAACTTTGAGGATAGGTTTCTTAAATGTAAAATGAAATACTTCTTCTAAGGGGTTTGTATAAATTAAGATACAGACATTTTCTGTGGAGTCAAGCAATATGAACGGCATTGGATTCTGCTGAAGCAAAGGGTAGGGCATCAATATTGTACACCAAAACGAATTGGTCTTGAAAGAATAAGCAGTTTACGGTACGTAGCTCCATAATTTACCTTTATTTGCACCTCATTTCTTTCAACGAAGCATGTCGAAACAGGTCTGTAGATAATCATTGTAATGAATGAAGACAGATCTGTGAAGCAGTTGATCATTTTAAATTGCCAGAATAGTTTACTTCCACATTCTACCTTAGGATCATACAAAATTTAATTATCTGTTTATTTGGAACAGAAATTGCTTTTCATTATCACTGATCATGAAGACAATTATCTTTGTGATTTCAGTTTTCAGTGCCTCCTAGAAATTTTGAAAATTGTCAACCTGACAATCTTTTCACATCTATTATATGGTTTTAGCAGAAGTGACCAATCCTTGAAGGTATGAACAGTTTTTGAATTAAAATCAACGGTTCCAAGGATAGCGTGTGAGAGATGTACTGTGCTGCCATTCGCAAGGATAAACACTGATTTTACAAGCTTCAGTCATATATTAGTAAGTTCTTACTATGAATATGTACTTTACAAGGACAGCAAGTGAACAAAGACAGTGTCCATGATTCCGACGCTGCATTATGACAAAAATCACGTGATGCAGATGGATAGGTAAAACTCATAAATCTGGAAAGCTTTTAGTAGAATGTAATGAAAGGAACTTGAATTCATGTTCAGAAGAATGGTTTAATTACTAGAAAACTTTTTGATTCCTCGAATGAAATCATCACAAAAACAAGATTTCCATCACTGCTTCACAGTCAGCGCTTATTTTAAGCTGATGTTTTCTGCACCATCTGCTTTAGCCTGAAGGTTTACTTTGACTTCTAATAGTTCCTTTCTATGAGCATTGGACTTCGACAGTTATACTAAAAATACAGTATAACACGGTGCT